CCCCCCCCTCCCCCTCCCCCTCCCCCTCCGCACGAACGACCTCGAAGGTGGTGTGCATGGGCAGCGTTATCCCGTCGGCCAGCGCGGTGTCGGCCACGTGCTGGAGGCGTTGCCGTAGAGGGGATGGCCCCGCGTACGACCCTGGACCCTCCGCGCTCCCGCTGGTGCTGGTGCTGCCGCCGCTGCCAGGGGCCCCGCTGATTCGGTGTCGGGGGGTCCCCGCAGATAGGGGAGACCTGTCCCCTGCAAGAATAGCGTGCGTGCGGACGCACCAACAATATCGGGACGCCGTGAAATACCCCCATTTCTCTCTCTCTGAGTGTATGGGAAAGAAATAATCGCTTTTGCTTCCTTAGCCAGGAGGTTTTGCCACACAAGCCTTTTGGTTCAATTTTGCTGGTGGGAGGGACCATTGGCGAAGATCTCGCGAGTGGTGAGAAGACCGCCCTCTCGAGAGAAAAAACCCTCGGCCGAACGTGACGGCAACGAGAATGAAGGCTTGCTCCGCCTCACTATTATAGAACAAAACCATCCACTGCGCTACATAGGCACTACTAAATCTCATTGTGTGAGCTACCAAGAAAACATTGAGCAGGATGACTGACTCCTGCGCATCTCGCATCTCAACCACTGAGTGAGTGCCGAATCCGGCCGACCAATTCCCGGTGCCCCCTCGCATGCACACACGCTCAAGCGTGATAGCCTTGTCCGGTGAAAACCCGGCGTGCTCCGTCCCGGCTTTGAAGGGATGCGAGGTCAACGGTCTAACGACTACGGCATGCACGGCTAGGAGTACCCCCCCGCCCCCTCGCACCTTCCACATCGCCGTCCCCGCCCCCGTTCAGCGCCACCGCTATGAGCACGGCGACGAGAACGCCTCCGATTACCATCCAAAACCGCCGAACGCCGCCAGGACTTCGGGCGAAAGACCGCCACCAAGCGTCCACGATTCCCCCGCCTGATGGCCCTCCTTCCTCAACGCCATTGTCGCCGCTGGCGGTGTTCATCGCGTCGGTTATGCCGGCCTCTCCGCCGAGGATTCCCCCGAAGGAGAAGGAGGGCATGGCCGGCCAGCGCCGCCCCTGCACGCGGTCGAAGATGTCTCTGGCCGATTGCTGAGAGGTGATCGAGAAGGCGCGCGGGGTGGAAGGTCGTTCGGCCGGTTCAAGGAAGACGGAAATAAAAACACCCGCCATGCGTATGATGTCGTCAGAAACGGACAACTAAAAGTGATGGAATCTTGATCATTGATATGCCGGGTATGCATAGATACGCAAAGACGACGATACCTAGGTTGTGCCGACAGAAGAGCGGCGCTACAGATGGAAGGCAACAATAAAAAAGAGTGTGGGAAACGATTCTGGAAGGCACTCCTTTCTTTCCTCAGTCAAAAGGGTCCAAACGTGGGGCAGGAGCCGCCTCCGGCCCAAGATACGGATCTTGACACCCACCTACGAAGCGGCGGTAGGTGATCGCCCACGCAACAACACTCGGAGGTGGACGTCCGAAGCGTTATGGGAATCAGAATTCCGAGAGAGAGAGAGAGAGAGAGAGAGAGAGGAGCACGTCACAGCACAAGGACACCGACAACACCAACCTTGTCGCGCTCACATTCCCGACCCGCATATCCCGCCAGGTGACACCATCCAGCGAATGTACCTGCTGGGAAATAAACAAAAAAGCGGCGGTGCAGACAACGTCAGCGGCATCTTTGAGACGCCAGCGGTCCATTCCGGAGAGCGACAAAAAGATTGAAAAAAAATGGAAGCACGGCCCGCAAGGACAACCTTTTTCGAGTCGCACATCAGCAATGTAACAGACAACATGGGGCGGCGACGCAGATCGGAAAACTAAAAAATCGGGCATGATGGTGGTGGAGGGTAGTTGGTGCGCCATACAGCAGTGGGTGGCATCGACAGCGAGATGAGTGCAGCTGAGCTCTCCACTGCCGTCTGTCCACCACTACTGCTGTCACCATGCGGCTGAGGCGGGCCACATTTAGTGCGCCCGCTTGTGTCACCGCAGATGGCGTGCTATACACATGCATATCACCCCGCAATCCAGACACGACGATGTGTGGTGCCTGCTTGTAAGGAGCAATCAGCGCTCCTCCTGGAGGTCGCTCAGCAAACGCCGACAGAGTAGTGGCGGGGAGGAACACTACCATGTACTTTCTACATAGATAGTACTGCTGCTGCTGTAGTACAGTTATCAAGCAGATGATGCCTTGCCTTCCTCTGATGTTTTCCTTCGGATACTCGCTACCTAACTACGTGTACATACTATACACGGCGTCCCCAAGGCGGATAGACTACATTTCAGCAGTACTTCATCAATCTGAGATGATATGCAGATAAGCAGACGTACCGTATATGACACAAGATAACACACCCCCTGGCCCGATTTTCAAAGCTTGATTACTCGATGACGAAGAGGATACATAAACGAAATGATACATTTTCGAAAAGATCTCAACGAGACGGTTCCAACGCCGCCGTTTTCGGCGCTGTGAGTCTTCCTGCTGTTGAGAAATCGAGCTTTGAAAAACGGTCAAGGGGGTGTGTTATCTTGTGTCATATACGGTATCCGGACCGGGGATAGGGGTGGACGCATGAAGCATTGGCCTGGACCTGCTCCATTCTGTCTGTGACAGAAAGAAGCTTGTGCATTTACGCGTGTCCTGATGTGTGCCCTGATCACGTCATTTTCTGCTGTATTGTATAGCTGCGAAACGCGGAACAACCTGGAAAGACTCTCTGGTAGTCTAGTTGGCAGGAGACAACGACAACCGATCCTATCAAGGTAGGAGACCATGCAGCATGCCACAACACACATCACACCACAACAATCGCCCACCTTGACACCACTCATAGCTTCCCCGTCTTCTTCCTCCTCCTCCTCCTCATCCTCCTCCCACTGCACGCCTGCCCGTGGCACTGCATCCTCTTCGTCGCGTGAACCGGCCGGCGGTGCTGCTGCTGCGGCATCTCTGTGGCTCGACATCTCCGCACGGTTCTTCCGTCTTGTAGAGGGCCGAAAGCTTACCGGCACCAGCTTGTTGTCGACACCGCGACGCTGCACCACAGCACTACAGCCGCATCATGGGTGGGACGCGGGGACCGTGGTGGATGTGTTCGAAAAATGAACGTAGGCGTGAATCGTGACATCTGCCCCAGAGGGTGCCAGATACCCGCGGTTGGTTCCAGGTTCCAGGTTCCAGGTTTCCAGCAGGACGAAAGCAGGACGCAAAAATGGGACAATGGAAGCAAATGGGTACCCACCGGAAATAATTTCCACCCTTCTCAAGATCCTTTCGCGGAAAATGCCGAGAAATGATGTTGTCGATATTAATTAAGGAATAATAAAAACACACACAGAAAGACTACCCATTCAATATTAATATTGCTTGGCAACGGTCAGAGGGCGGAGAAGGGAGGGCAGGGCGAGACAGACGGATGAGGAATTGACCATCTAAATGGTTGAATGAACGCGGCAGAGCCACACCGCTTGCGTGCCTTCCACACACAGACATCCTTTTGGGAGGTCGACTAATACTGCTGCTGTAGTATGCATACACTCGAGATATCCACCCGTCGTCCCCTTGCCTAGAGCTCTGCTTTGATGGGAAAGGACACGCGGAGCATTATTATTCCGGCGGGCAGGCTGGAGAAAGGGTGCAAGAAAAATTCCTCGGTGCAACTTGCTGTTAGGTGCGGTTGGCAGAGAAAACTGCTGTAGGTCGCTTGCCGTCGCGCCACACCTTGTTGTTCCACACGACAGAGTAGTAGTGATGGAGCGTAGCTCTCTGATTGAGATCACGCCCCGTGCTCGCGCCACGAGGAGGAGGATGGCGTCCGGTCTTAGACCGGCTTTGCTCTCTGTCACCGGGGCGGCAGCGGCAGCAGCCCTTCTGGTAATCCTGAATGGCAGCAGCAGCCGTGTGCCAACAACAACCCGGGCCGCCGCCGCTGCTGCTGCCCACCTTCTTGGCGGGAAAAGGAGCAGCAGAGGGGACGGAGGAGGAGAAGGAGGAGACCGGGGCAGAAGAGCACACGGGGGGCAACTGGGCGCCCCGGACGGCGGCGGCGCTGCGGCAAGGGAAGGGAGAGGTCGACAACACCCGCACGGCGCCAGCAGCAGCAGCGGCAGAAAGCTGGACGTGACAATTGGTTTCAGCCAAGAGACGGATCGCCCGCTTGTGGAAGGAGACGACGGTGTGCTGTTCGACGAGCCGCCGGTGCTCAGGCACCCCATCAAGGACGAGTGGGTCCAGCGCTGCTCCAATTTGGAAAACGCGACCGCCCCCTTCGCCCACGGCTCGGTGTGCGGGCCACCCCTCACGGAGCCGTGCTTCGATCACAGCCGGTGCGGCTCCGCTACTTCTAGGCCCATGATTTACGTCTACGACCAGGAGGTGAGAGGAGGAGGAGGAGGAGGAGGAGGAGGAGGATAAGAGATGAAGCCTTGTTGCGTGAGGGCCTTCTGTGTAAATTTTATGTGTAGGCGTGTGTGCATAGCCTGTCGTGTGTGACGCGTCTTTCGTCTTCTTTCCAAAGGGCGGGCACGTGTTTTCTGGCAAGCGAGAACGAACTAAACGCTAATTTAGTACCCATGGTATGTGATTCTTGGAAGTTCGCACGTATTTTTGGAGATGATGACAACCAATTCATGACGATGTGTTAACTTTTTATCCAACAAATAAGACCCTTCTTTATGGAAACATTATCTTGTATTTGTGTGTATTTGTTTCCTTCATCAACCGGCGTTATTGACGCCCCTCCACTGCTGCTGCTCTAAGCACTGCTCTTGTTGTTGTTGTTGTTGTTGTCTTCACATTAAAAACTGTTCCGATCTCTCTCCTTCGTATGTCCGTACCGATCCAACACTCGACGCGGTCGATTCCCGCGGTCACAGGTTAACTTACCCTAAAAAGGTACACTCAAATAAACTGGGTTCGAGGGGTCCGCAAGTCAATAGAAATCATCGACAGATATTCTGGGATCCTCCACTCCCTCTTCGCGCTATGCGAGGTATCAACTGAGACTAGCAGTCACTATCTATCATGGGCCGGAGATAAAGAGGTACACCCCCTTGGCCCAATCTTGGTACTTCACAACGCAAGCAGAGACAAGGCCATCTGGCACAGAAAAAGAGAGAAAAAAGAGAAAAAATAGGAGAAAAAAATAAAAATGGAAACCGTAAGGAGAAGAGAAAACAAATGAAAATAAAATGAAAAAGGGCGAGGACAAAGAGGGACCAGGCCGAAAATAACAGGAAGTATGAGGCAGAACAAGGCACACGGTGGAGAGACCACTAACGAACAAGCAAACACGCAAACATGGCCACCAACCAGCGATACATTGTAATGGTACGAAATCACTACTACTGGGGGGTTGGTGCAATGGTGCAGCGTTGGGGGGGGGGGAATTGGCGAAAAGAAATTCAATCCGGCATGTGTCGTGCCACTCGATCCGTCTCTTCTCGTTTGCTTTCTTCCCTCGCCGTCTCGTCCGTCTCCTGCCCCCTTCCCGCCCCATTGGTTGTTGGCTTGTGGTTTCGTTTGAGCGCTCGTTGTCGGCTGGCCTCTCTTTCCTTCTCGTGCCAGGAGGTCATGAACCTCTCAGCTCCCTGCAGCACCGCCGCATGCCAGGGTACTCCCCCCTCCACCTTCGCGCTTCCGTCCACCTTAACTTCGGTGCCGTGTCTTTCGGTACCGGAATTCCGAGACAACTTGGGTCGGTTTTCGTAGATCCGTGGTCGGCCCCGAATGCCTTCAGGTCGTCGAGCACACACTTCGGCCAGTTCTGTTCCTGTCCCCCCCTACGTGGCTTCTCCCCCCCCGCCAACTCGCCGAGCATCAATCGTTTCGGGAGTCGCCCGTCCGGCTGCCTTGCCAGTGCTCCCGCGAACAGTAGGCGTCGTTGTCGGATCGTGGCTTCAACGCTCTGGCATTCGACCCTCTTCAGGGTCTGGGCGTACGAGAGCTGCCGGTAGGTGTCTTTCTTGCGCTTGTACCCGATAACTCGAAGGAGCAGTCGGTGGTGTGTCGACCTCAGCGTCTGATAGTGGCCGCTGAGTGGTGACCATGTCATGCAGCCGTACAGCAGTGCCTCCATCGCCTCCGCCTGGAGGAGGCGGATCTTGAGTCGGAATGGCGCTTTCGGTCTGTCGAAGAGCTCCTGGCCATATCGCCTGAGGCACGCCCACGCTCCTCTGCTCCTGTAGCTGTAGCATACGGATATGGTAAGCTTAGCCTTATCAGGCACGCCGATGCGTGCTTCAGGGATGTGCAAAACAGCCCGCCGCAGGCGAAAAATTTTGGGGTCAGGAAAAATTTCAGGCATTTGCCTGACACCAGGTTTTTGCCTGAAATGCCTGAATCAGGCAACCTGCCTGAAAACTTGCCTGACACTTGCCCGAAACCCATTCTAGTCGTTTTGGCGCCCTCATTACGCAACTCTGTAGCGCGCAACTAACGTGCACCGGCAGTGTTGGCATTCAGGGCTTACACTGAAGTATTTAGACACGTAGTTAACGAAAAATATATTTTGTTTTATGTTGCAGACAACATTTACTTGCCCCGTACAGCAGTAGTACGTTGGTTCCCCCCATTCACCCCATGCGTCTCGACTCAGTACTCCACCAACATCAGCAAGAGGTTGCTTGAAGCGGGCGAGGGGCGAGGGGCGAGGTACAGAGAGCACACAGAAGCTGGAGGAGCAGAAAGAAACAGAGAAAACCATTACTTCGCAAAGATTGTACAGATAGATGCCAAAGAAACCAGGCAGACGTTCAAAACAAGATTCGGACATTCAACGTTCGACAACAAGCAAAGCATTCCCCGCCGACGCAAGGCATGGTAAACCGATAATTACCATCCTCCCCCACTTCCATCTGTTTGGTGTGTGCAGAAGCGCTAAATAGACAACGCTAACAGTCAACGAGCTCTAGGAGCAGGGGGGCAGGATTTTTAAAAAATGACCGCAGGTAAATGCGAGCAGCCAGATTATTGGCGCCCCCTCGACTTTCCCGCAATCCCTTTCATGTACGCACGGGCAAGAAAAGTTAGCTGGCAGCATCTTGCTGCACGACCACACGACACACTGCCAGCACGACACTACCAGCACGACACACCGCTAGCTAAACTACCACTGGCGCATCATTCGTCGAGCGCGCAAGGCCGTGCATTTTGTTTTTTTAATTGGGAGGGGGTCCGTGCTTGATTTGTTCGCCCTCTCTGTGTCTCACGGGCCCCCCTCGGCCCCCTACATACCTACTTATGAGAGTTGGCGTTTATTTTATGATGCCGGACACGTGTTTTGGCGGTTTGCTGCGTTGCCTCGCGAAAGTCAGGCATCTCAGGCACCAAACACCCTCTCGGGCAACCCCGATCTGAAAAGGGGCTGTCAGGCAATAAATCAGGGTTGCCTGATACGGCTGAGCTTAGGATATGGCGTCCCCGACACAACAGAAGAATCGAAAAATCGGCGTTTACGAAGTATTTGCATGTGACGGAGGTTCTCGTTGCTTGCGTTGACAGTCGGTCTTAAATTTTTCAATTTTTCGGCGTGCTAACTCATATGCGAGTTGCAGTTGTTGGCAGTTTGGCATCAACGTAGGTGCGTTCCCAGGACAGGAATGGATGACAGCGCCATAAATGAAAGCAACAAATGTTGCTGGCACTAAAATACTATCAGCGCCAATGTGGCTCGGACTGGAAGGGTTTCCCGTCATTGTCACTGAAACACATGGGACAGTATGATGTACGTTCCATCAGCACTAAATAAAATTCGCGCTGATTTTAAAGATTAACACCGCCATCGCTGATTTTCGAACTGCACCCGCTCTTTCCCGCCTTCAACGAAAAATTTAGCATCTAACAGAACACACGCGGACCGAGTGACAAGATGAATATGTATCAACAGCAACACTTCCAGGGAAGCCGGACAAACTCGCATGATTCCATGTACCGTAGGACCGTGGGTTGCGTATGATACCACACCCCCCTACCACCGATTAAAGCTCGGTTGCTACATGCGATCCTGAAGAACAGAGTGTACCGAAAATGGCGGCGTTGTTGGAACCGTCTTGTCGAGAGCATCCCGGCAAGGTACGGTTTGATTTCGGCATCCTCTTCGTCGTGGAGTAGCCGAGCTATAAGAGTCGGTTCAGGGGGCGTAATGTATTTCGAAACAAGCGTGCAATCGGTATCCTTCCCCCCCCTACAAATACTACATCTAGGCGGAGGTGTATCATGCCTCGATATTTCCAGGGCTTTCCACGGTGATGACCTGGCGCCGCAATTCGCCAGCCCCTGCTTCCAAGATGTGCATCTACTTCGGGCACTTGTTAACTCCCACATTTTCGTTGGCCTCTGCATGCCTTAGTTCATGCCCTCATTCAACACTCGAACCCTTGCGTTTGCCCCCCTTTGTTAGTGTTCCCTCTACGAGCTCAGGTACCTGTATCTAATTCTACATTATTTTTGGCTTCTGCATGCAAACTCGAAACACGTGCTTCTACCCCCCCCCCTTGTTTTTCGGTTCTGTTTTTGCCTGCATGCAGTGTTCTCTCGCCAATAGCAACAAGCTGCGCATCAATGACCACACCAACCTGGACAAGCAGCACCAGGGCTCCTACTGGAGGGAGGCGGTGTGGAGGGCGGGGCTGCTGGCCAACACCTATGAAGAGGCGTGCCTTTTCATCCACGTCAACACCCACAACCACGACGAGCCGTGCGCCACGAGGGCACCACTCTGGAACGGGGGCGTCAACCACATCATGATGGAGTTCACACCGTGGTGGCTGTAAGTGCTATTATTCGATACTGGTGGGGGTTGTTTTCTCTTTTTTTTTCTCCTTCATCATGATGGGCCCACGCCTTGCTGAACGTGAGTGCCACAGAGTGCTGCTTGGGATTGCCTTTTGTTTCGTCCCGTCGTCATTGTGAAAGTTCACGTGCAGGATTTCCAAGCACTTCGCACGGGGTGATTTTTTCGTACTTTGAGCATTCCCTATTTTCCTTCATGGTGAACTTCAATTCAAGTCTGGGAGGACGTAAAGTGCTATAATAGTTGTAAATACTTGTGGCGAGTTCATTTTCCTTTCATCGTGATGCATTCACGCCTTGGGGTACGGCAGTCGTCACCTCTTGCAGCACCTCTTGAAGGTCACCAAGCTAAGATACTCTTTTTCTTTTTTGGACACATATTTTCAAAATTTGGTGCCCCGCAGAATGAAACACCAATGGGGGGGAGGTGTACTCACACCTGTGCATGCCGTAGTCGTTAGAGTATTAGAGTTATTTAAAACTCGATTCATGGACCGGCGGGACTTTTTTGGGCCTTTCGCTGCTTTGTACATTTTTGCTGAAAAACTCTCGTGATATAAACTCGAGAATAGATCTTCACAGGATAAAAGCACAGGACTGTTAGCCTTCCCCAATACATCCTCGGACAAAGGTGTTGGGCAGGTGGGCTGCCGTTGTGGTGCAGCCAAATTTGATCAACCGGAAACAAGCAGCATGCGAAATTAGAGTGCCTTTTTTCAAGGTGATAAGAATATGCACACCCCAACGTAGTAAACGAATAGCGGACAAGGCGCGTTCGTCTCTGCCAAGAGCGCCCCCAACCCACGCTAGCTGATACTCTGTATGTTGGCACGCGGGCACGTTGATGATAACAAACCGTTGGTCCTTCTTCTCTTTTTTGTGTACCAAAGAGAAAACGAGATAGGGGTTAGAAAGGACAGGCAGACAGGCAGACAGGCATATACGCACACCCTGTGCATCAACGGCAACAACAACCTCCAGCCTCCCCGCCATGCCGACTAGGAAGGGCCGCCCTCCCCCCAAAAAATAACGGGGCAGCCTATAAGCTACGCGGCGAGCCTTGTGGAACTGAGTCTGTTCGTTAGTTTGTCTGTGCTTGCGTGCGATGGCGGCACCAGAGAAAAAGCGAGAAAGAAAAAGGAACACGACGAGAGAGGAGGGCAGAGGGGGAAAGAGGGGGTGTAGCAGCATGCAGCAACCTCACGTACGCGTTGATACGCACGTATAGCACAACAAAAAATCGTTCGGGCAGTGCCCGAAAGCTTGGTTGGGGGCTGGCGGTGGTGGCGGCGTTGTTATGACTGTGTGCTGTGTGTTTGCTGTTGTGACGGCGGTGATGTTTGCTGCAAAAGCGAGGAGAGAGGGGAGGGAGAGAGGGAGATAGAGAGAGCAGTCTGTTCGTCTCGGAACACAAATATATACTTGGAGCTCTGGAGCCCCAAACATATTTTTGCTCACGATTCATGCATTTTTGCCCAAAAGTTCCCTCCGATATAAAACTCGATTCATCCACTTTTCGGGCTCTTCCACTGGTTTCATGCATTTTTTCGAGTTTTAAATAACTCTATTGACCTCGCATCCTTACAAAGCCGGGACGGAGTACGCCGGGTTCTCAACGGACCAGGCTAGCACATCACCAAGCGCGAATTGGGTGGGGTGTAAATTTCAGGACCCTTTTTTATGTTTTTGTTAACGCGAGTGTCCTTGTTGCGGGATGACTGCTGCATAGTTTTTCTCCTGTGTGCATTCTCCTTGTGATGGTGTTTTATTGAGGTTGCGATATGTAAAGCCCTGCCCCCTCGATTGTACTGTGACTGTAGGGCGCAGGCAACCCCCGCAACAACGGAGGGAAGGTTAAGATGTCGACCTGATCCTCCTCTGTGTTTCGTTTTTTTTTTTTTTTTTGGCGGTCGGTCTGTGGCGGTGATGCTGGTCGTGTCATGCCCTCCACACGACGGCGGAGCAGCAAGTCACAACGCGCCCGCCCGCACATCAGCAACACCTACGCCATGGACTGGTCGTTCGACGCCCTGAGCTGCTACTACCGCAGCGGCTATGACCTGTCGCTCCCGCTGGTGCCCGGAAAGGTGTTCCCGGACACGGCCCCGTCCCCTGCCCCCGATCGAGACTACTTCCTTACTTTCAAGGTAGGGTGAAGATCATAGCGCCGGTGAAATTGATGGGCACAGACTGAATTCCCATAAGAAAGGCCGGTTCCCTCTGAGTAGCACCGGTCGATTCGCCGAGTCCATACCGGCGTTATTGCATACTGCTGTGTGTATGTATGTATGCATTTTGACCGCAAACCGGTTTGAATCCCGTCCGCATCTGTTAGCATGCGCATTCATCTAGACCCCCCCTGGCGTGCCCTCGCCTGCCGTACCCTTGTCTAACCTCGTGCCCTTTTTCTCGCGTCGTTGATGACGATGACGGCGCGCGCCGCATGTACCTTTTGTTACAAAAAAGATACGTCGTATTTGAGTTGTACCACTTAATATCTTCACCTTCGTTTTTGCGGGACAATATATATATATACTCTATATATTTTAGGGGACGCTGTACCTCCGCGGGTACGGCCTGGAGGAAAGGTCCGCCGTGTCCCGCGCCCACGACCCGGCCAACGGGGTGGTGTCGGTGATCAAGTGCTCGAACATGCATGGCGACGACATCCTGCCGGAGAACCAGGACTACTGCCAGCGATCTAGGAAGCGGTACGACCTCTACGACTACGAGAAGCTCATGAACACGACCTTCGCGCTGGTGCCGGCGGGTAGATCGCCGGGGAGCTTCCGACTTGGAGAGGTGAGGAGCAGGAGGAGGAGGTTTTAGGAGTCTTGTGCTAGGTAGGCGAGTGCCTTGTTGTGGATTTGGGTTATTATTCTGAAAATTGAGTGGAAGAAAAGTTGAAGTCGCAACAAAAAAAATCGCCTGTATAGCAGTACTATATGTCACTAGCCACATGTTTTTTTTGTCGGGAGACATGTTTGTTTTTTTTTGTAAATGGTGGACCGACCTGGCGGGTGCTGTTGCTTGATGTCGTGGGGGGTTGGTGTTTGGTCTTTGGCTGGTCTGCTCTTCCGTTTGGCAGTGGGCTTGGCTTTTGTTTGGTGTTGGTTGGGGATGGTATGTTTTGTGTTGACTTTTAGGCTAGTCGGTATCCCCTGCCTACATCCGCTGCTTCCCTGCTGTTCTAACCGGTACATTTGATGAACCTCCCTCCTCACAGAACGGAACACTCATCTTTTTCCCTCCTTTCTTCCTATAGAGTGTTGGACTATTGATTCGGCCATGGCTATTTTTCTGCTCGAAGAATTCGACGACGTTGCGGTGTCCTCTGCAGACCCTCATAATGATTTTTCGCTCTTGAGTTAGGCTCGCTCTCACCGTGCTGCGTGCACGAATCGTGTCTTCCAAATCGATGGCCTACGAACCTCTCGTCCATGCGTGTGTGTCTGTTTTTTTTTTTTTTTTTCCCTAGGTTATGAGCGCCGGCGCGATTCCGGTGTTCGTCGTGAGGGATTGGATCAAGCCGTTCCAGGAGCAGATCGACTGGCCGTCCTTCTCGTTCGTGTTCAGCCCCGACGACGTGGGGCCCATCATGATGGAAACCTTGCGAGCTGTCGAGCCGGCCCGGCTGTTGGAAATGCAGGTGATTTTTGGCCTCGTCTTTGTCGTGGTCGTTGTTGTTGTTGTTGTTGTTGTTGTTGTTCGCGCTTCTGTTTGCTTCGTTCATTTGTGTCTTCTTCCTTGTCTTTGTCTTGTTTTCCCCGTTATTTGTAGTGGTGGCTGCGATATAGTAACCGAGCGGTAAGTCCAGACTTGTCTTGTGTGGGGACGCAGCTGAGACAGGTGGATCGGGTGTGTGTGCTGGCGGTCCGCTGCGACGGTCTTGGCTGAGCGACTAACTCTTGGTCGATACAACCGCATGAGATGGCGAGGCAGAGATTGCGCTGAAATTCCGGGCCCTTCCAAAATCGATTCGACCGAGCAAAGCAAGCAGCAGCGGCCTGTAGATCCCTCTAGCGCTTGAGAGAACTGTGGAAAACGCAGAGCAATGCCGACCTATTTTTTTCGGAGAACCTTTGGTGGATCGCTAGGCTGGCTTGCTTTGGAATATGGACGCGGACACGGTACGGGACGTGGCGAAACATGCGGAAAACGTATGAAACGAGATTACATGGAGCCCACTCGCTTAACCACATCCGCCCCCCTCGACGTGCCCTCCTCAATTACCGCCGCCGCTGCCGCCTTACCTGTTCCGAAAAAAAAACGCTACCACCACCGCCGGTCACAGCGCAAATCCCTGAGAGCCTACTGGAAGATTTTCGGCGGGGTGGCCAACTACTCGGTGATCGCGAGTAACGCCATCGACACGCTAATCCAAAGGATAGGGTACCACTAAGAGTAGGGGAGAGCTGGGTTGGCGGCAAGGCGTGTTCGATTTGTGGCCTCCTTAACCTGAAAGGGCTGGCAAGCAATACCTCGGGGGTAGTGGCCGAAGTCGTTGTTCATGCGACAGTGTGCGGTGAGTTGGGCTCTCTCTCTCTCTCTCTTTTTCCTCCGCCGATAGTTGCTGGAAGGCCCGAAATGCCTGAAGGCTCCTCAAGGTTGAAGCGGCTGGTCGGCGCCAGTGACTGACTTCTGCACCATACCGCCGGTGGCCGGTGGCCGTGGAGTGGCGTGCTCTTTGCGGTCGCTGCTTTCTCCCGGGAGGACGTAGCTCCCCGTGGAGCTGTCAAGCTCCGCGGTAGAACGCCAGGATTTGTCGCCCACGACAAGGAGGCCTCGTGTTTGACGCCCCCCCCCCCCTCCCCCTGTTATTTTTTTCCGACCTCTGGGCTTCCCTGCTGCCCCCCACCCCTCCTTTCCTTCTCCCTCCCCCTCCTTTTGGGTTCCCCCCCCCCCCCCCCCTGTGTG